TTTCAGTGGTAAAAGATCTTTACAGTCAGACTAAAAAATTAAAATATTACAGTTAGAGTGTCAGTAGTAAAAAGTACGTATTGTCAGACAAGAAGCTTAAAATTCTAATTGTGATTTAAGTAGTAAAACCAAGTTTTTAGACAGACATTACTAATTTTACTCACAGTAGAAAATGTACTTTTTAGTCAGACAATGGGAGCGATCATAAATGATGTCACGTTTTTGGGGGGAGGGGGGTCTCTACTAAACGTGACATAATGTATTTTTACATGTGAAATTGCATGAAATTGCGTGACAGGGGGGAGAGAGGGGGGTGTCAAAAATCCCGAAAAATTGCGTGACATCATTTGTGAACGCTCCCAATTTTGATAGGTATAGTTTTAGTAGTAAAAATAGTTTCTATTTAACAATTGTAATTTCAATGCTTAACTTTCAGTAATGAAGCTGTCAAAGCAACTGTCAACTTTTATAAAAGTAATCTTGTTTATATAAAAGTGTTTAAAAAAGTGTTTTTACAGTTTCTGATTTCGAATTTGGTGTTCAATTGACAATTTGACAGTTGACAGCTGTCAAACCAACTATCAACTTTTATGAGGATTTGTTTTTGATAAAATTGTCCATAAATGGGTTTTAGGGGTCGCTGATTACGAATTTAGTGTTATAAACACAATTTGACAGTTGACAGCTGTCAAAGCAAATGTCAACTTTTATAAAAGTAATTTGTTTTTTTTTTAAATAACCATGAAAGGGATTTTGGGGTCGCTGATTACAAATCTAGTGTCAGAATCACAATTTCACAGTTGATAGCTGTCAATTGTCAAATTGTGTTTATGACACTAATTCCATAATCAGCCACCAAAAAAAGTCTTTTACGGTAATTTTTATCAAAAACAAAATCACTTCTTATAAAAGTTAAGTTGTTTTGACCCCGAAAACCCTTTTATGGACACTTTCACAAAAAATAAATCCTCATAAAAGTTGACAGTTGGTTTGACAGCTGTCAACTGTCAATTTGTCAGTTTGTCATCAAATTCGTTATCAGCGACCCCGAAAACCCTTTTACGGTCATCATTCATTTTTATAAAAAATAAATTACTTCTAATGAAAGTTGACAGTTTGTTTGACAGCTGTCAACAGTCAAATTGTCAATTTGACATCAAATTTATAATCAGCGATTTTGAAAACCATAAGAAACTTTTTTTTATCAATTTTTTTACTGTTCGGGTAATGTAAGATATTTGTTCTTCGTCTTAGGCGCAATCTTGAATACGCCATTTTTAAATTTTTGCAAATTTTTTAAAATTTGGACCATAATTGTATTCATTGGTTCAAAAGATAGTGTGCTTCAAAAATTTGTTTTGACACTAGCGCCTGTTTATGAGTTAACGTACTTTTTAAAACAATTTTTTCTATTTGCATAAACTTTTTATTGTTTTTTATATTAAAAAAATTTTTACATTCTCATCAAAAATGAGAAAGTCTTGGATTTGTGCGATTTTGAGCATTGTCTAATTTTGGTAAATCTTTACGTTTCATGACCCCCTGATTCCAAAAAAATGGTTTTTAGAAAAGTGTCTGTCCGTCTGTCTGTCTGTCTGTCTGTCTGTCTGTCTGTAGAAAATTTTGTCGTCACGATAACTCGAGTAAATTTTAATGAATCGACTTGCAATTTGGGGTGCTTTTTTAGTCCATAAAAATGAAGCCTGAGTTCGTTGGGCAGCCCATTTCGTCAAAAAAGAACAAAAATACAAAATTTTGAAATTTTCAAAATTTTGTATTTTTTACAATTTTCAAAAAAATATTTTTTTTAAATTTTTTCCTTAAATTTGGTGCAAAAACAAACAACTTTTCCTTTAGACACTTTTCAGTACAACAAAAAACAAAAAAGTTATGAATTTTTTTTTTTTTTTAAATTTGCTATTTATTGCTTTTTTTGGACTTTTTGTCGGCCTTCTCTTCAGTAGAAAATTTGTCATATTGGGGCCTTGTTAATAAAAATTAGTTCACATTATGCTAATACACCTTTCTTAACATTAGAATCGACAATTGCATCTTTTATACAAATTAAAAAAATTTTTTTCCAAAAAAGTGCAAAAAATTGAGATTTATAGTGAGTGAAGCATTAGCCGAAACATGAGAAAACATTAAAAACATATCGAAACCTTCCTTTTTTTCTTTTAGATGCCAAATTTAGGTAAAAATACAAAATTAGGAACAAAAAAGAACTCAAAATATGCCAAAATTTTGCTTTTTTTAAATTTTTTCGTAAAATTTGCTTTTTACATTCTCATCGAAAATGAGAAAGTCTTGGATTTGTGCGATTTTGAGCATTGTCTAATTTTGGTAAATCTTTACGTTTCATGACCCCCTGATTCCAAAAAAATGGTTTTTAGAAAAGTGTCTGTCCGTCTGTCTGTCTGTCTGTCTGTCTGTCTGTCTGTCTGTCTGTCTGTAGAAAATTTTGTCGTCACGATAACTCGAGTAAATTTTAATGAATCGACTTGCAATTTGGGGTGCTTTTTTAGTCCATAAAAATGAAGCCTGAGTTCGTTGGGCAGCCCATTTCGTCAAAAAAGAACAAAAATACAAAATTTTGAAATTTTCAAAATTTTGTATTTTTTACAATTTTCAAAAAAATATTTTTTTTAAATTTTTTCCTTAAATTTGGTGCAAAAACAAACAACTTTTCCTTTAGACACTTTTCAGTACAACAAAAAACAAAAAAGTTATGAATTTTTTTTTTTTTTTTTTTAAGTTCTTGGGCCAGGTATATTTTTTAAGTATTTGGGCCAGATTTAGCCAAACGGTATATCTAGAACTAAAAAATTTTATTTTCATATCAAAATATTTTTTTTTGTCTCTCAACATTGTTTAGAAATATTGCTTTACATATTACTCAGAAATTTTTTTTTTAAAGTTATTAAAAATTTAATTTTTTAGTATTTCTAAATTAAACAAATTTTTTTTTGAGTTCTGGTTAACCGATATAAAATTCGAAATATGATTTTGTTATTTTCAATTGCACTATTTGAATATATTTTTTGTTTTTAATCATTTTTACATTATTATCACATGAGAAAGTATTAGTTTTGTTCGAAAATTGACTTTCGCTAATTTCATGAAATCTCGACGTTTTGGGGTCCCCTGAGTCCGAAAAACATGGTCTAAAAAAAGTGTCTGTCCGTATGTCTGTCTTCGTGTCTGTCTGTAGACACAATGTTGTCGCCACGATAACTTTTGAAAAACTTATTGTATCAACTTTCAACTTTGCATGCACAAAGTTACTGTTAAAATACAGATCGAGTTCGTTAGCCATCTATTTTCGTTGAAAACTACATAAACTACAGTAGTTTCAAAATTTTGAAAATTCAATTTTTTCAAATTTCATTATTTTTAATTTTATATTACTTTCGATTAGAAAAATACAAACAACTTTTCTCTACAACATTTTTTCATAGAAACTTAATTTTTTTTTAAGTTTTTGGGTCAGGCGAGGTCAACTGGGTTAAAAAAATTTTATTGGTTTTCTAAAATGTTATAACTAAAATATATTCATAAAAGATATAACATTTTAGAAAATCAATGAAATTTTTTTAATACAGTTGTGCTGGTGTGACCCCTTTTTACATTTCAATTTTTGGTCCTATCTTGTTGGAAATGGTTTTTTACATTCTCATCACATGAGAAAGTAATATACCAGAGTAACTTTTCTAGGAGATAAACACTTAATTAAAACAAAAATGTCTGAGTAAATAAACAAAGAGTGAAAAGTTAGTCATTACGCTCCGGTCTACACTACACAAAAAATTTGATACTAATTCTTTAAAAATATTTTAGCTGCTTCTGCAAATCATGTTTTTACTAACAGAGTTAGTATAATTAAAAATAACTTTACAATTTAAATCATCAAGACCAAAAATATACATTTAAATCCACTTTATTTCGCAATCATCAGCAAACTAAAACATGTGATGAGAATGTAATCCTTAAAGTCGTAGTAACTTTAAGAAAAAAAAAACTGTTTTATGAAACATATAAAAGGAAACAAGAACATTAATAATGCACAACAATTGCAGACCCCGGCGAGCGAAGCGATCCATTTGCGCGCGAAGCGCGCAACAACACACGGAGCGCGAAGCGCGACGTGCGAAATAATCGCCGGAGCGCGAAGCGCGACGATCAATAATCGCGCGCCCCGAGGCGCGCTGAAAGTTGCGAGCGAAGCGAGCCCCCGCGCGAAGCGCGGATGAGAATGTGTCCGCGCTTGCGCGGACAGATTTTTTTTTATAGTTTACTTTTATTTTTTTTTGTACTTTGACCGATTTTGAAGAAATGAAGTCAAACCCGATTAAAAAATATTAATATTTAAAAAATTTACAGTGGTTTTTGTAAGTGGGACATATACCCACATAACACATAATATTGCAGCAATATTGCTGCAATATTGTATTGTAACATTCGGAATATTCTAATTTAACATTGCTATAATGTTGCAGTGAAGTTGCTATGTCCGACTTAATAAATATTCCAGTTAAACGTTCCAGGAATATTACAAAATAATATTTGAAAAACTTATTTTAAAGTTACTCGAACATTTTTAAGTAATGTTGCTCAAATGTTATTTTGAATGTTACAGAAATATTTCTATGAAACTTTTCTCTAATATTTAAAAATTGAATTCCGCAACGTTGTAAGAAACTTTCAGGAACAATAAAAAAACTTAGAATATTATAAATTTATAAAAAATTGTGCAATTCGAACAGCAGTAAATTAAACAAGTAAGATTAAAATATTATAATAAGTAATAAGGTGAAAAAACGTATAGTGAAATAATGAAACGTACTTGAAACTAATTTTATTATTATTTTCGAGGAATCAATTACAAAATAATAATTGAAATAATGAGAAAAATATTTTTAAAAAATAATTGTCTTTTGATAATTAATGCGATAACTATAAGAAAAATATTTAAAATAAAATAAAAAAGTGTTTTTTGATAATCAAATATTCTCTTCCTCGTCATCAGCATCGTCTCTGTCGCCTTCATTTTCATCAATATCGTCTTCAGGAGTTTTATTTTCATTATTGTCTTCTTCTGAATCATTAATTCTTGAATTTCTCTTTGCTCTGTTCAAAAGAAAGTCAATATATGTATGTATCACTTTTTATTTCTCTATCGAAAAAGGTATTGAAAAATTTCCCCAAATAACGTTACCTAATCCCGTGTAGAAATTTTGACAGTACCCTGGCCAAGTCCAGACAGGGCATTTCCAAACCGGGTTGAATCAATAAAACCGGCCGGAGCCCAATTTGCCCGGTTACTGCAATTTCTGCACGGGATATTAAACGTTAAAGGCTAACATTAAACATTTTTTGCAAAAAGCCTAAAATTATATTGCTTACGTTTCTCTGTCGAACCTGGTTTTAGCTTGAGCTAACCACTTTGATCCTGCAATCTTGATATTTTCTGATGTTTCTGACGGAAAGGTAACTTTGACACTATCTAAGAAGAAGGGAAATCTTTACTATTTCTTTATGTCTATTATTAATTGTTTTTCAAATTTCTCTATAAATCTGAATTGAAACTTATTGTGTTCTACACTTACTTATAATAATGTCTGTGAAAATCGTTTCATCTAAAGACATTTTTGTTTTGTTTCTCCCTGACCAACTATATTGCTTAGCTAGTGAATTGGTAAATAATTTTATACAAATGTTAGCTATTACGCTATTCACACCTCGTCCACCAATAGATCCCAAAGCTTCGATCTGAAATATTTTTTTAAATGACTTTTTTGAACTGTTTTATCTATTGTAATTAAAATGAATCATATCTGCTGTTATTAATTCCCTTTAGTATTATTATTAAAATTAAAGTCATTTTTAATAATGACCGATACTTTTTTTAAAAAAATCTTAACTCTTAGAAAATTTTCTTACCAGTTTAAGTTTCAGAGATTTTTTTTCTAATTTTTTGCAAGCTTTATCAAGTTCAGATTGTGAAGAAATGGGCAATTTCGGGCACTCATCAGAGTCAAAAAAGGATCGGGTGATGTTTGTTGAACCAAACTTATTTCGGGGCTGTATTTTTAGTTCCCTTAACAATAGTATGATTTCATTCAATTTGTCCAATGAAAGTTCTTCATAGGTTAGACCTAAAGTATATAATAGTTTCTTAAGTTTTAGTACATTTAGTTTTTTTAATATATTTTTAGTCAAAAAGCAGATGATTATTACTATCCCTAAATTTACTTTCAGTGAATATTTTTAATTATTTAAGTCATCCGAATTTAAATAAATATATTACCTACTTTATAAAAAATCTTGTAACTCGATAATTTCTTTTAATTTCTCTAATAAAATGGATATTTTTAAGGGGATCGACTGATGAAATTTTAACCCATTAAAGTTAATGTTCTTTAGGGGTGAACAGTTTCATTTGTCAATAATCAATACTACTATTAAAATTATAAAAAACTTCGAATAATTTAAAAACAACTAGTTTGTTAACAATTTCTTGAATAAGGCTTAAAATTTTCAAAAAATAAGAATTATTATTTTTTATGAATTTTTTACATACTTTTTATGATTCTGAACAACTAATCCTATGGAACTTAAAGAATTTTAACCTTTTCAAACAATAAAATTTCCAAATGGACAATAAAAATTATTTTCAATTTTAATTATATATAACATTTTTAGACTCTAAATAATGCAAGAAAAAAATTGACACCTCTTAACGGCAATAATTTCAATTAGTTAAAATTTCAATGGTTCCCCTCTTAAATTATTTTCTTCACGTAAATAGAAATTTTTTTTAATCATTGAAATACCAGATTTTCTGTCTTGGTAATTAAGACTTGCAAGACAGTTTTCGAATTTTCTTGTACTTTCTTTCTTCTTCTCTATACATTTAGAGGAACCATAGCTTCTTTTTTCATGACTTGATGACGTTGTCGGAAAAGGATCAATTTGTGCACTTGCACCTTTAGATAAAATAAGTTTGCACTGTTATAATAGAGTCAGTCAAAATATGAAATAAAAGAACTAAAAAGAAGTGTAAAAAAGGAAAATTTTTTTTTATTTTAAGGAAACTAAATTTTTTGACTTATATTAAATTCGAATTTTACTTTTTTCAAGTAAATATTCCGTAGAAAACTGTCAGCTAAAATTTACTTCTTTCTAGTAAGATTACAAAAATATGTGCAAAATTTATATTGAAAAAGTAAAACGTGAATTCGTAAGTGATAATATTCTCGAAAACTGTGATAATTTTTTTTGGGAATATCTGTGAAAAATTCACAGATTTAATTTAATTTAATTAATTTCCCGAGGATATTCAAATTTGATTTCCCTCGAAATTCATGTCGGAAAATATGTTTTTTATAATTTTCGCGTTACCAGGAATTTGTTCTATGTGATCGAAGTTTTCAGTAGTATCGTCCAATGTTTCGCTATCTCTTTCGTCCTTTGAGCGCTTCGAGTAAACATGACTACTTTTTTCGTGATTCGTTGACGCAGATGGTTGAAATTCTTCACTTATAACTTTATGTAAAAAAATTGATTGCAATATTAAAACAGAGTTTGTAATCTTAATTTTAATTCATTTAAATTTTTTCGTAAGTAGGTATTCTTTGGAAAAAAATTAACTCACATTTAAATACTAAGTTAGTATGAAATATATTAAAATGTTTGTTCTATTTAGTAAATTATTATACTAAAAATTAAATTTTTTAAATCCCACGTGGAAATTTTCTAAAAAACTTCTTGGGAATCAAATCCCCAGAAACAACACGTAAGGGATTCCAAAGTGTTTTCCGGAAACTTCTTCATGTGGAATACAAAAATTGTATGAAGATAAAATGAATATTTTTCATAATCTTTGTATAATACCAGAGTTTTGGCCTTGGCGATTAGGAGTTGCCATGCTTTCGATCTTTTTCACTTCATGTTTTGAAGAAACATAGATACTTTTCTCTCCAGTCACCGACGTTGGCGAAGCTTGTTGAGTTTGCGCACTTGCATCTTTATTTAAAAAAGGTTTTGATAAGTTAAAATAAAAAGTAGTAAATTTAAAAAGGTCCAAAAAAATATTATATAATTTTTAAAAATTTGAAATATACTCATTCAATGTAGTTAATTTAGATATTTTATTTATTTCAAGGAGATATTCTTTGGAAAAGTGTCAGCTCAAAATTATTTTTTTCTAGTATATAAAATCTTTTAAAATATCACAGCAATATTAATTAAATGTATGTAGAAAACAGGTTTTTTTAAAGAAATAAATTTTGATTATTAAACAGAAACAAATATTAAATAAATTAAATTTTTAAGTAAATAGTTTTTAGGAATAAAAAAATGAAGCATGATTGAAATACTTAATTTAATTTTTAAATTTGATTTATAAAATAAAATAATATTTCAAATTTAATTTCGTAATGAAATAATTAATTTAATTTAGTAGTGTTATTTTTATATTTAATAAATTTAATTATTATTGTTAACTCTTATCCTTTTAATTTGATATTTTACCTGAAATATTTTTAACCTCACTATTAATTCTAGGTCTTTTTGATGGTGGTAGTGGAAGTTGGATTTTTTCTTGCATTGTTTTAATTTCTCTTATTTTTGGTTTTCGCTTAGTTTCAGGGGAAGGACATGCTACACCAATATATAAAATAAACATAATTACATGGTTAATTCAAGTTTTATCCGTCATTGAATCATTATTGAACTTATAATTGATCATTTTTTAATTTACTTGAAATTTCACCAATATTATCTGTGTCATTTTGATTTGGTAGTTGGGTTGATTCAATGGTTTTTTGTTTCTTCGCTTTATATTCATTTACTTCGTCATTTTCCGCCAATGAATTCACTTTTGCTCGAATTTGTCTGGACCTTTTATAATTATTTGCGTAATCTTCCGCATTCTCACTGTCTATTTCAGACAATAACAAGGACTCTAATAACTTCTCCTTTCCTTTCTCCAAAGTGCCTAATTGTCAAAATTATAATAATTCAGTTCCTATAATTTTTTTACTTTATTTTCAAAATCTTAATAAAATTAATTTTTTATAAAGAAGTGGATCTTTTTCTCAATATGTAATTATTTTAAGTATAATATAATAAATATCCAGTTTAAAAATAAATTTGTCTTGAAATTGATTTAAAGAAGGAATAAATAAATGGTAAAGTAAGATTAAGTAAAACATTTACTAAAGGAAAAAACTTGTGAATATGAGACGTAAATTTCCAAATTGGAAATACTATAGCAGTGTATAAATAAAATCTGATTTAGTTTTAATAAAACCTTGATAATTTAATAATTAAAATAATTCTTTGTTAGATGTTACTTGTTTTCTTTAAGTATTTTAAAACAGTATATTGCTTCCACGTCAATTCTGGATCAACCAACTTCGAGACCATTGCATTGACTTTTAGGGTATTTTGTATTGGCGGATAATAACAAACAAATTCATTATTGTTGTCTGGAGAAAAAATCCATTTTGTTGGAATTAACACGACACCATCTTTCAGTTCAACTATTGAGAACGGCAGATTTTCGGTTGGCATTTCTAAAATTATAATCATATACATTTTAAATTATTTTTTAATGAAAGAATTAGCAATATATTTGATAAATTAGAGGTTCGTATTTCAATAAAAATTCTTATTCATACTTAATAATCTTTCCTTAGCGGTTAACCAATTTCTCGTGATTGAATTTTATTTTGACATAATAATTGACAATTGTTTTGAATAAAAAACAAGTTCCGTTTCCATGGAGCGTCTTTGTTGATTGGTAACTAACAAAATTTTGTTTAATTATACGTAACATTTACAGATTGTTTACAGATTATTACGTTTGTAAATTTATTCAATATGTACATGTATTTAAACAATGAAAATAATTTAAATTATTTCTAAAAGTATTATTTATTGATAGTGTTAAATGTTAAGTATATTAAAATTTCGTCAACACAATTTTCATATTGCAAAAAAGTAAGTGAAGTTTATATTAGTTTTATAATGCTCTTTTTCTAAATTTATTTGGTTATTGTTTTTCTCATTATCAGTAATAAATAATTTACTCAATTCGATTATATATTCAAGAAAAATAATCTGAAAAATAGTAATTAAAATATTATATTTTTCGTATCGTGTTATTAATGGCGTGCGGTTTTAATTTGTTGAATTTTTTGTAGATTGTATATCATCAAAGTTTTGACTTCATTTGTACAATAATTATGCCTAAAATAAGTGAGACCGGATGTTATTCGAACAGACATCTTCGACGATTACGTCATCGTCAAACAACTTTGGAGATGCAAAAATGTTCTTTTGAAGATTTTCCGATAGAACGAAACTACAATGACACGAATTCTTTAAATCTAAACAATGATATTATTAACGCTGAAATATCTAAGGAGGATAATACTACTGATGATGAATCCCTTTCCGAAATCTATAATCCTGATAATTATTCTAAAATATCGTCTGATTCTGATAATGATCTCGCACACTACGATTTAGATACAACGGAATATTCAGTTAAAGCAGATGAAGAAAAACAATATGATACAAATAGTACTGACTGTGAAGATTCGGATTACTCAATAGATTTTGACTTCGAAGATGAAGAGTTTTTTAACATATCAGATAGCGATTCTGAGAAAAATTTCAGCCTGGACTCGGATTCTGATTGCTTTGAAGAAGAAAGTGAAGAGAAAATGCATGAAGGCAAGAGCAATAAATTTAAAACTGCTTTGATTAATTGGGCCCTATTGTTTAACATTCCTCATGTCGCTGTAACCGCATTACTTGTGATTCTATCGCTATTTACTACTTATTTATTACCACGCACTGCTCGAACACTGCTACGAACTCCAAAAACAACTGAAACTATTGTTGCTATGTCTGATGGAGGAGAATACCTTCATTTAGGTATAAAATATAATTTTGTTTGATAAAATAATAATTATGTTAATAAATAAATTAATTTACTTATAATTGAATATAATATTTTTAATTACTATACTATAAATTTAAGAGAAGGCATTGAAAAACATTTTCAATAATGAGAAATTAAAAAGCAATTTCTTTCTTTTAACATTTATAAATATTTTATTTATAAATTTTAATTTTTTTAAATTAAAATTTTTTAATCATTTATTTTAATTTACATAATTATACAGGGTTGCTACACTCAGGGAAAACCTTGAAAACCTGGAATTGTCAGAGAATTTTATAAAATATTTTTTTACAAAAATTAATTTGACGTATGTGAATCGCGTAATTTTCAATTTTTCATTTTTATTCTCACTTGTAATTTTAAAAAACTCCATTAACTAATTTTTTAAGTTAGATTCAAAAAAATTTATTAATTAATAACCATATAAAAGTTTTATTGCCTAATATTGTTTAATTTTTTTCCTATCAACATATAAGCTAATATTCTCAAAACTTTTAATATTATTCTTTGCAAAAATTTTAATAAATGTTTACAGTACAATTATTAATTATAATTATTAAAAAACTCGGCATGATCAATAATTTTTTAGAAATTTTAATAAAATTCAATCATTAAATGTTTAATTTCAATTATTAAGAAATACGATTATTCTAGAAACTTGAAATAAATTGTTGATGAAATTCAATTATTTTAAAAATTATCAATTAGAATTATTAAAGAAATTCCATTTAAAAAAAAATTAAAATAAATTCTTTAAAGAATTTAATTAGGATTATCCATTATTTTAATAAAATTGGAAAACCTGGAAAAGTCAGGGAATTTTGAAATGCTGAAATCGTAGCAACCCTGTCATATAAATAATCACTTATCATGATGCAAATTATACCATGTTACACCTATGTAATCTATTCGAACAATCTAAATTCTTAATATTTTTATTTAGGTTTACAGCGAGCTTTAAATTCAATTATAGAAGATTGGAAATACAAAGAATTAAGAAAAGAAAATTTAGATTTACTCGTCAATATTGACGGCCTACCAATTTACAAATCTTCTCGAATTGCATTGTGGTTAATTTTATGTTCAGAAACGACATCAGAAAATGTTCATTTGATTGGAGCTTATGCAGCGTGTCATCATCCTAAAAATGCAAATGAATTTTTATCAAGATTCGTAGAAGAAGCAAAATTATATTGTAAAAATGGAATACCTGTCGAAGATCGTATTATTCAAGTAAATATTTCTTTGATTTGTGATGCTCCAGCGAAAAGTTTTGCCTTAAATGTCAAAGGTCACACAGGATATGATTGTTGTCCGAAATGTAAAGTTAAAGGAGAAGGTATTCAACCCAATCAATGGAGAAGGAATAAGAGAAAAAAGCGTCGTGTTTGCTTCCCAGGAATAGGGCCTTTTGCTGAAAGGACTGACAAAGAATTTGCCAAGAATGCCTATTTAGGAACTTATCAAAAAAATAAAGCAACGATTTTGACTGAAATTCCTCGATTTGGAGCTGTTTCTAATGTGCTTATTGATTATATGCACCTAGTATTGTTGGGAATTATGAAAAAAATTATCTTGTTGTGGATTTGGGGTCCACCTAATGTAAGACTTAATCAGGATAAAATTGATAAAATCTCGATAAAGTTAATGCAATTGAGAAAAAGTCAACCAACTGATTTTTGTAGACGACCGAGATCATTAAGGGATGTAAAATTTTGGAAAGCCACAGAGTTCAGAAATTTTTTATTGTATTGTGGACCAATTGTGCTAAAAAATATTTTGCCAAAAAATATGTTTGAAAATTTCATGTCTCTGCATGTGTCAATGTTAATTTTAGTAAGCCCTATTTTCTCAAGATGTCAAGAAAACATCACCTACGCTCAGGAGCTAATTGAATATTTTCTTCAAACTTTCCAAGTCATATACGGAAAAGAATTCATGTCCTATAATTTCCACAATTTACTTCACCTTTGTAAAGATGTTGAAACTAATGGCCATGTAGACAGATTTTCTGCATTCAAGTTTGAAAATTTCATGACAAGTATTAAAAGAAAGCTAAGAAAAAACAGTCAACCTTTACAGCAATTAAGCAGAAGGTACGTTGAACTAGAGGCATCGGAGAAGATGAACAAACCGCAAACCAAAAATAATATTACATTAAAACATTCACATTACGATGGTCCTTTAATGAACGACAATTTAAAAATTACTCGACAGTATAAAACACTTAATTATGGATCATTTCACATTAACTGTGATGGCATGAGAGATAATTGCGTCCTTTTTAAAGATGGCTCTATCTCAAACATATTGAATATTGTAGAATCTGAAAAAAACAATGTCTATTTTATCGGAAAGAAGTGCTTGTCATTGGGAGACCTTTATGAAACTCCATGTTCTTCAAACGACTATAATGTTCATGAAATAATTGAAACTAATAATGAATTAAGCTGTTGGAAATTATCAGAATTAGAAACAAAATTTTGGAAAATTCCTACTAACAACATGAAATCTGCAGTGTTCCCTTTACTCCACATAACATAAATTGTTATAAATGGTTTGAAATTATCATCACCATCTTTCAAAATTGTTTTATACATTAGAATTCTATCTGTGAAAATATTTCTGGAAACTTATAGAGTTAACTATTGGAAGTATATTCTCCATAAAATTTCCACCAGAATTCCCAAAAACTCTCTAAAATTCCATTGAATATTGTATAGGGAATTTTTCGTCATTTTACTTCCGGAAATATTTACATGACATTAAACACATAGGTAATTACTAAGAGTTTTTTTAGCAAATGGATTTTCTTACATTTTTTTCATTCGGTAAAATACCTGTAATATACTTTTATATTTTTCTATTATAAATATCTACATAATTATAAGACAGTTACATAGAGATTTATTATTGTGATTTATTATTATTGTTACAATGATCAACAACATATAATTTTAATTATAAATAAATATGAAATCTTTAACATAATTCCAATTACTATATTTATAAGGAGTGTTTTTATTTATTATTTATTATTTTTTATTTATTATTTATTTTATTTATTCTTTTATTTTTTTTATTTTTTGCTCTCACGTCAAAATATATCCAAGAAAAACTCTAAACAGTTTATACGAAGTATTTCCGCGTGCATTATTTTTTAGGACAATAAATAACCATTTCCTGAAATTAAAATTCCTTTGTAGTTATTGATATTTTTTAAATATTGCTAAAATGTTCCATGGAAATATTTCTGCAACATTCAAAGGGATATTTGAGAAACATTACTAGAAAATGTTCGAGTAACTTTAAAAGAACTTTTTTGAATATTAATTTGTAATATTCCTGGAATGTTTACCTGGAATGTTCATTAAGTCGGACATAGCAACATTTCTGCAACATTACAGCAATGTTAAGTTATAATATTCCGAATGTTGCACTACAATGTTGCAGCAATATTGCTGCAATATTATGTGTTATGTGGGTATATGCCCCGCATGCGTTAAAGGGTTAATTAGGGAAATTAATTCTTATATATTCTAAATTTTTTTACGCTTCAGTGGTAAAAGATCTTTAGAGTGAAACAAAATGATATCAATTT